TTTTTTTTTTTTTTTTTTTTTTTTGGTACCAGGAATCGAACTTGTGACCTTGCGTTTGCAAGGCAAGCAGCGGAACCACTGAGCTAAATCCCCAGCCCTCCAGTTTCTTTGTGATCATTCCTGAAAGTCCAGTTCCTCTCCTGGGGAGAGATATGTTATCTTGTATGAATACTACAGCATACATGCACCCAGGTCAGATATGCTGCCTCCCCCTCATGGAGACAAATAAATCCTAAAGTATGAGCAACCAAAGACAAAAATAGGAAGAGCAATGAGAGCCGTCCTAGTACAAATACATTGTAAAGATTCCACTATTTTTCCTCACCAGAGATGAAATCCTCTAAGGCCTAAAGTTAAAAAATATTATTGCCTATAATCATCAACTTAAGGACATTAAGTTTATTATGCCCTGTAACAGCCCCTGTAACACTCCAATCTTGGGAGTTAAAAAATCCAATAGAGTAGAGGTAGGTTAGATTGGTAAATGAGACAGTAGTGCCAATCCACCCAGTGGTACCTACCCATACGCTCTCCTTTCTCAGATCCCAGAAGATGCCATTGGCTTTCAGTGTTAATTTAAAAAATGCCTTTCTTTGTTTTCCTTTACATACAGATTACCAGTTTCTTTTTGCCTTTGAAAATCTTCATGACCAGGCCTCTCAACTGACTTAGACTGTGCTTCCTCAAGGGTTCAGAGACAATCCTCATTTTTTGGGGCAAGTGCTTTACTACAACTTGGTGTGTTTTGAATTTTCCCAAGTCACAGTCATATAATATATAGGTGATATACTCTTATATACCTCTCAGAAGAGCTCCATAACCAGGGCACCCATGCGCTGCTAAATTTTCTAGAAAACAGATTGTATGGTCTAAGACACTGAAGTCTTGAGGTAAAATACTTGTACCTTATCATATCTAAGGGAACCTGAAGACTGAGAAAAAGAAAATTAATCCAGTACATTCCTTCCTGCAGCCCAAGACCCTAAAACAGCTAAGGGGATTCCTAGGAATTACACACTTTTGTTACCTTTAGATAGCAGCATATGGTGAGATCACATGAGCCCTCTGTCATCTTTAAAAGCCGAAAAGGCAGATACCCATACTTTCATCTGGGAACTTGATTCTCAAACTGCATCCCAAAAGCTTAAATAAGCTCTTCTAGCACTGTAGCAAAGGGATGGCTTGCATGCATTAGAGCTGTGGGTGCCATAGCTCTTCTGGTACAGAAGTATCCAAACTGACTTTAGGCAAAGATCTCACTTTATATACACTGCACAATGTGGCAGGACTTATTTCTTCCAAAAGGGAGCCTATAGTTATCAGGCAGCCAACTTCTTAAATACCAAGCTCTACTTCTAAATGGACCGGCCAAATAAAGGCATGTTCCTTCTTAACCCCTTCTACCTTTTTAGCAATTAAAGAGGAAATTAAGGCTGAAAGACATGACTGCAAACAGGTAATTATCCATATGTACGCAGCCAGAAGACTTGGTAGACACACCTCTTATGGATCCCAACTTCACCCTCTTCTGTGATGTCCGTTCCTTCATGGAAAACTGACAAAAAAGGCAGGCTATGCAGTAGTGACTGTGTACCGACGTATAAAAATTCCTCACTTGCCCCTGTGATTAGGGCCTACCTAGCAGAACTCACAACTCCAACAAGGGCTTTACAACTCAGTAAAGGACAGAAAGTCAATATTTATACTGATTCAAAATATGGTTTCCTATATGGAAAAAAGGAATTATCTAGCAGCCGATATATGTCTCCCATAATATATCATAAAGAGATAGATGACTTTTATCATCTGTCCATATGCTCTCCAAAGTGGCAGTAATTCCCTACAGAGGGCAGCAAAAAAGGAGTTGAAGGGTATCTCAAGAAAACCAAATGGCAGACACAGCTGCAAAAGAAGCTGCTCAAGGGCCCTGCTTAAAGATGCCCTGATCTGGGAAGGGTCCCTTGATCATACTCAACCCAAATAGTCTCAGAATCCTCAGCGGCTATACTTGTAATATTATTGATTGATCATAGTTTTGACCAACATTGTACCCACCTCGTGATTTTGCTCTATAAAACTTTCTTTGAGATGTGGGCACACTGGCAACCCACTTTCAGGTTCTCTCCTATCTCTTGGGAGATATCTTTCTCCATAAATTCCTTCTATTCTTAACCTCTCTTGTTCCTTAAAATTCTTTCTTTGATTTTGTGGAAAACGATCTTGACATATCTGACATCTAGAAGGTTGAGTGTTATATTATTTCCCCTGTATGAAAAGGACAACTGTAATGTAAAGCTAAACATTTAATTAATGAGATCAGCTAGACAAAAATACATACCTGAGGGCTTCATAAATAGCTAATGGATACAGGTCTGGCAGATATGGGCATGATACAATGGTTTAGCAAAATTTAGTGTGATTTTAGCAAAATTAATGGAAATAAAGAGCATGTGAAAGAAAAAAAAACACTACAATTTTCTGTTTCGGTAAGACCACATCAGTGGACTCTATGGTTCAGTCTGAGGCAAATGAAAAGTTAAAAATGACACAAATATGACAGTTGGGATGATGAGAGAGTTTACAACCCTGTGAGATGTTTCAAAATACATAATCTGGAGAAAAATGTATGTAAATGTATTTATCAGGTGATTTTACTCTCTGTATTTGTGATCTCTTACTGGCTCTGGTGAGAAAGATGATCCTAAGAGTAGCCAATTTCTAGAGATAGTATATACTTGCGTGAAAGCACACTTTTCAAATGCAGATCAATCAGTTCATAACTTCTAAACTTAACCACCTCTTTATCAGACTCTGGAATGATGAGCAAATTATTTGCCTGCTCTAATCACCCAAGGACCAGTGGTAAGGCAAGTAGAGACAGCCACTACACCTCCGAACCCACAGAAATTATTCAAAGTACAGGATCCTAAACCTGCCTACTCGGCCTTCCCTTACTTTTCCTGTAGAAACCACAATAAAGGATTTTGCCCACATTTCCCCTTTTCCTTCAGCTTCCTGATCAACATCGGTGCTTCTCAATGTAGCCTTACATGGTATGCTATGCCTCTTTCCCCTAATGAACTGTGAATAGCAAATTACCTCTTCAGTGTCCTCTCCTAATCTGTTTGGTCATCATATCCAAATACTAGCAAAAGCTACATTTGAAGGCCATACTCAATAAAATCTTAAGATATTGAAGGAATATGTATTTTCACCTAACAATTACTTATGCAACTACTGGATGTCCAGCACCGTTCCATGCAAAGATTTTAAATTACTTAGTTTAGAACACTACTGCTTAAATGTTAATGTCTGTACTTGTTGCTTCTCGTATTTCCTTTATGAAGACAGTGATTCCACTCTAATTTTAATTTTGACTAAATGTATTTAGGTGATGTTATGGCTTGTATCTAGATATTCCCCTAAAGCCTCATGTGCTTACAGGTGGGACTTTTTTGCAGCTAGCTGGATCTAGGACATGTGATACTGGGATTAAGGGTGTAGTACTAAATTAATCCACTGATTAGAATTCCCACAGTTCTGGGTATGGATAATGGTAAGGCCCACCCTGGTTTCGGGTGGAACCACCAAAACAGACTGCAGCCTAGATGGGATAAAAGGGAAAAGGAGGCTTGTTTCACGCTTGCTTCTTGCTTTGTGCTGCCTCCTTCCTACTCTGCCCACAGGCCATTTCTCTTCTATGATGCCTTTATGCCATGCCACCCTGTCTTGGAGCCAGCCAACTATGGATTAAAACTTCTACAAACTGTGAGCCAAAATAAACCTTTGCTTCTTTAGCCTTGGGTGTCAGATACTGTGTCTCAAAAAAGTATTTACCGACAAGCATGTCATGACACTGACTAATCAGAACTGCTGCTAACTATAGTTAGCAGCTACAGTTAGCTACAGGTATAGGTGGAGGTATCTAGCTCTAGGTAGTAGACACTGGAGATGTTTTCTTGGCCAGGTCTGTTTAGACGATGAGTAGTTGCAAGGTTTGGGACATCATAGGAGAAGATGTGGTAGTGAGGTTAGGGAGAATAGTAGTATCACAATTCATATTGTAATAACTGGGATTATTATACCAGCACTATTTAAGTTGAATGTAAGACTTGGTCATATATCTGTTAGTCTTCTCATCCATCTGTGGTCCTGTTCAAGCTTTTTCTGCCATTCATTTTATTGTATATGTATATATTGTATATGTTGGTCACATTGCTCTGAATAATGGCCATGATCTTTCTTGTGCTACTTGGATTACTCCAGAAGTGGTCTGCCAGCTCTGAGTGGGCTCTGCATCCTGATGGAACTCTCCAGTTCTATTATGATCATTAAAATTATACTCTATGTTCATTCACTATGAATAAAAGGACAATAAAATATGCCTTTTAATGAAATCCTTTACTATAATAAAAATGATAGGATTTAGACCTTCTCTAGCCAGCAAGTAATTAATTGAAAGATTGTCACATATTTCTTACATGAGCATCTTTCAATATATTTTGATGCTGTAATCTTTATTTTCATATTGAAAAAGCTAGCAAAGTGAGTTACTTACTAAGGCAAACTTTTTGTTGAGAATCATCTGCTCCACCAAAGATGACTCATTATGAAAGAGGTGGGGCTGCATATGACTCCACATGTGAGGAAACCACCAGAACTCATCCACAGATCCCAACAGACAGTCATCCCCTTCATCTTCCTCTTCAGTTCCTTCAGGGAGAAAATGATTATTCAATTAATTCCAGTTGAGCTTCTCTACCTACCTTTCTGTTTATCTATCACTTATTTAGGTATCTATGTATTTAAGTACTCTCAGATGTGGTATTTGCAAGATACCATGTATAGTATCTTACATGTGCAAAAGTCTTTGAACATAAAATGTAGCAAAGGAAAATGCATTAGGGAACATCCAAAAACTTTGACATAATTCTTTTGAAAGTTTTAAATCTGAGATATGGATACTACTGCGAGACAGAAATATATATCCATTCCCAAGGACCTTAGAACTCCTAAATTTTAGTACCTTTGTACAATCTGTATTGGAGAGCAAGGGGATCAGGAGAAAATGCCATTGTGGGAATGTAAGTACAGAAAGGGATGTGAATCCTAGTGCTAAATCATTTCTACATGGGTTAGGTATGGAGTCATAACAAAATAATTTTATAATTTTTTTGGTCTTTCAGGGTACCATATCATCTAGAATTAAGGAAGTCATTTATTGCAGTTGAAAACAAGAAGTCTATTGAAATTTCCCAGTTATCAGACCATTTCTGATTTCCACCTTCCAGGCAGTGAAACTGTGAGTAACATGAACTGAGATTCTCTAGTTTATGAAGTTTCCAGTCTTGCTGATTTTAAACTCTATTCTTTGTCAGATGTAACTCCTTTGCTCAAAGTTTATTTATTAAGACAGAATACCAGGTATCAGGGTTTTTTGGAAAGGTAACAGGCATTTCTTTACTTTTCCTGAAGATCACAGGTGAAATCTGTGATTAAAATGTTTGTATATTGGAATCATACAGGAGCTACACAAATGACATTTGCCCTCCAGCACATTTATTTTAATTCATAGTAGGCATAAGTGTATGTCTTTCCCCTATTCTTTGAAATTTGTTTTATTTAATATTCTTTAACCCTAATTTGGGGATGCTTTAAAAAAGAATTTGTTATGTTGAGAGCATATTTCTATTGCTTATTACTTTAAATAGTATGATGAAAAGCAAGTGAAATGTAGTTGTAAATGGTTGGATTGTCCTGGGTTTGTGCTGTCCCTTAATTCCCTTACTTTGCTCTCTTGTGTTAGAAATGGAGGAAGGAAGAGGAAGTAGTCAATCACTCAATTTTAAATACTATTTCTTAAATTATTATAAAAAGACACATAAACCTTATGTTTAAATTATAATTTATTTTATTGTATATCTAGTTAAAAACGTATTGCTGCAATCTTACTTGCTCTACTGTGATGCTAAAACTATCTTTGGTTGAACCTTTGCCTTGTGTTAAGCACTGTGTTAACTGCTTTACATAATTTAATTGAATCTCATAACCCTAGAGCTAAGGTAAGAGAAGTGAGGCATTTGAGAATATTGGGAGAGAGAATGTGAGTTCAGAACTTTAATCCTAATTCTTAAAAAGCAACTCCAAATTCAGGGCCCTTAGATATCATTTACTGAACAAATGTGGAATCTAGAAAAAGATCAGAATTTACTGTCATTTTTTTGCATTACTAGCTTATTCTATGATGTAATTAGAACATATAGATAACTGTTGCTTCTCAGTGACTTGGCGAAATGTACCAACTTAATGAACCTATAGATAGGGAGACTCTTCAGCTTCTATAATCAAGGACTGCCAATTAAACAACAAAATTCAAGCCTTCTAATGCATATGAATTGGGCTCTGATCGATCTAGGGTAAGACTGTTTTTGAAATTTAACCAGATAAATGATTTTGGGCTTTTGTATGTTTCTGTGTTCTTACCTAGAATATAAGGTAGCATATTCTGTAACTTCTAGGATTCATTGAAAAGGTACAGTACATGGAAAATATTTAGCAAAATAACTGAAGTATGGTTATTCCTCATTAAAATGGAAATATGAATTTTATTTTCTTCTCCTCATAAATCCTTCAAAAATTAAAGTAAACCACATAGGATAAAGCTTTCTTGTGAAATACAATCTTATTATGACAGTGCTGCATTTTTTCCTTCCCTTCAAGAGTGAAGGAATAGTATTCGACGTTTTTTTTTTTTTGAATCCTTGTGAATACTCCGAAGGGCTTTTTATTTTTTGGTACCAGGGATCGAACTCGGGTCCTTGTGATTGCGAGGCAGGTGACGGAACCACTGAGCTAAATCCCTGACCCAGTATTCGACTTTTAATAGAAAATGGAATTATTCATTTTATAAGACAATATTATTAATTAAATTTTATAATATCTAATTTTTGAAATACTGATTATTAAATTTTATGTCAGCTCCCACTGAAAAATAATTTCCCTGGTTTTAGATAGCCCTGGCTACAGTTTTATGAAAGGTTTATATTATACACAGATGACAAGACCTTTCACACTTGGCTTTAGCTTCATCCTGTGTTCTGCTGTCCCTGATTTAGATGAGGGCAAGTATTTTTATTCTGAGCTGTGAGAAGTGCCCAAGTAAAAGAAGAGGAGAAATAGTTCAGAGATGAGAAGAAAGAAGAACTGCTGGAGTAATTTCTAATATTCAGTGTTTGGCAAGAAAGGAAATGAGTTGCCATGAGTGTTTTCTTGTATTTTCTGGATGAGTCTGAATTGTTCTGGTTTTGCTCCTATGGCTATCTCTCTACTTTCCATCAAACATACTACATATTCTATATACCCTTGATCTTGTCCTGGTGATGCCTTGTCTGTATGTTAATTTTCTTTGTTTCAAGGGATTTCAAAGAATCTAAGATAATCAACTTGAAAATAGAATATATGAAAGAGGTTATGAACACTCTTAGTTCATTAAGTTCCTGAGGCTCCACACTGTTAAATTTAGTGGTATGATGGGTCTAACTCTGCTAGATAGATGAACCAAACTTCTACACATAAAGACAAAGATCTCACTTCATATATCTATGACAATGCAGCAGAATTTACTATAAATGTGAGATTTATAATACATATCTAACAGTATTTTCAGTTTTGAGGTTATAGTAAGAACAGTAACTCATTCAATCATAACACAGAGTTAAACCATGATTATGAGGTTCTCATTATTAATCTTTCAAAAAAATGACAGAAACAGTGTATTTTATCATTGGTCTAAGTCATTCAAGTGAATAAAGCTATTAGGATAATGCTAAAGTAACTTTTAAAACCTATAAAAATTTCAAATTGGGAACAAAAATTATAAATAGTCATTATATGATGTGGAAGTACTAGAACCAAGTGTTAGAACTCTCTGGCTTTTATAGAATAAAGGAAAATTCACTTATTCTGGAAGTTCAATATCACTACTAAAATTGAAATTACTAGTTATTGCTATTTATGTGTAGATGAAATGTATATTGACATTAATTATACATAGGTAGAATTCTCACTATAATAAGCTTATTATAGCTTTGGAAAAACTCATTAAATATATGTATATGAAATAATCCATGTCCCTATTATCAAATTAAAATTTTGAAAAGCATTTGCAATTGTAGAAAACTATTTGATAAACTTTAAAAAATTATTTAAGCTAAATAGGTCACACATATACATGTTAGAAAATGCAAAAAATGCAAAAGCAATGCAATAAAAAGTAGCTTCTTTTCATCCTTGTTAATCAGTCTCCAAATTCTCCTCTTCACAGATACTCAAAAACATTTATTATGAATCTGTTTACAGAGACATTGTATATATGTATTAATAGCTGTGTATGTACGAGTTTCTTGGCCACTGTAAAACAGAGTTTCATAAGCTTTAAAGCCAGCTTTCTAGAGTTGTATACATTTCACCCTTTTTATTTTTATATAAGTAGTAACATGTTCTAATCATGGTATATGCTTCGATATTTTCAGATATTTCTCAAGAGCTCTTTTCTCATCAATTACATTTAAAATTATCTCTGTCTTTTTAATGACAGAAGCGTATTCCATTATATGAATGTACAACTATAACCAACTCTTTAACTTCTAAAATACATATATTGATGAATTTAATCATGGAATTGTATTTACCTACCCTGATGCATGAAAAACTACATTTGAGCATATTAATTATGTTTGAGAAAGAGACCTTTTAATTAATTTAATTTAAAATTATTTCTTTTCACAGCAAATTTTATGGTGACCTTGTTGCACACAATTATTATTATTAACCAATATAAAGATTATTTTATTGTCACTAAGTCATTTGTTCATTAATTCATTTTTTAATAGGCATTGTTCTAGTCACTGCTGTCACAATAAGGGAGCCCTCATGGAATATTCATTTCTTTGTGGGAAGAAACAACTGATAAATAATTTAAAACAAAGTCCCTTTAATATCTATTCATGATACAACTCTGAGCAATCGATGAGAAAGGGGGCTTTTTTAAACTATTAAAGAGCAGCTATAAAATAGTTTACTGAAAGATTCCCTTTGAGAATACAAACCTTTTGAGAGTTCCCCTACTGAGGTCAAGAATAAGACAAAAAAGCCACGATCACTACTTTTATTTAAAACTGACCTGGAGATAGGAGCTAGGTGCATCTGGCAACAAAAAGAAAAAAATCATAAGGCTAGGAAAGGAAGAAACTGCATGATTCTACAGGCAGTAAATCCAAAAGAATCTATAGACAAATTGTACAGTAAATAACTGAAAGCAGCAGAGTTATGAAATACAGGATCAATGCAAATCATATTTATTTACATATCATCAATAAAGGAATGGAAAATTAAAGGAAAAAACCATTTACTGTTGCATAAAAAATTCTAAGAAATAAATCTAAAAACTACAGTGTTTATTTTAGTATAAAACACCTATCTGATACACACACAAAAATATTCCAGATTGATCATAGATTTATATATTTTAGAGTGTTAGAAAATATTTTTATGATCTTGTGATATGGAAAGATTTCTTAAGACTGAAAAATCTTGCTATAAAGGAAAAATGATATATTGTACAAAATTAAAATTTAATATATCAAAAGCACGAATAAAAAAGGAAAAAACAACTCAGAAGTGGTAGAAGGTGTTTACCACACTAAAAACTAATTAAGAATATATAATGAATTTCTACAAATTTATAATAAAAAAATCAGAAAGTAGACAAAAAACCTAATGCTTCTTTAAAAAGCCTATCCAGATAGCCAATAAACATGAAAGAAGTTAAATATAGATTAGACCCATGATATATTTCTACATGTCTACCAGAAATACTAAAATTAAAGTAAAAACAATATCGACATTGGCAATGTTTTAGAGTAACAGGAATACTCATACTATGGGAAATATAAATTAGTAAAACTACTTTGATGAACTAGTTAGTATTTTCTATTAAAGCTAATCAGATATATGTCATATAACTAGCAATTCCATTCCTGGCTAATAACTAATATAAAAGAATATTAAAGTTCACTGAAGGACAAGTATAAATATGACTATAAAAGAAGCCAAAGACTAGAAATAACCCAGTCATCCACACTGAGGTGGAATAAAGAAATATTGGTATTTATGTTCAAATAATGGAACACAGCAATGAAAAATGAAAATTGATGATATACAAATTATAATATGTATAAAATCAAAATAATGTTGAATAGAAAAACTGGTTAGAGCTGAATTATTTTGTTGTTAAAAGTGAGGAAAGGGGTTTTCTTTGAGGGAAACTAGTAATTGCGAGTGATCATAAGGCTGAGAATTCTGCTCCTGTTTTCTTTCTTGATCTGCCCCCAGCTGTGTACAGCTGTGTTCAATTTGTGAAAAGTCACTGAAGGTCAAACTTATTATTTATGCATTTTTATGTAAATAAGTTATAGTTCAATAAAAAGGAAGACCATAACATGTTCTAAAGATCAAAAATAATATGTCAAATGTAATTAAGTAAGATAAGGAAATAGGTAGAGGAGCAGAGAAGAAATGCAGGAAATTGTGAAAAGGAGGAGTATACAAAACTAGTGGTCAGAGAAACCTTATGAGAACAGTTTGTCCTTTTTTTCTTACCTGTATGGTAAAATTTCCCTGAAAATCCCAGGTTGAATGTAAAATTTGTGATTTGTGCACGTAAAAGATTCTGAGTATCAAGCAGGGCCTGAAACATAGAATTTTAAATAATGTATCAAGTTGAGAAAGGCACTGAAAATTTTATAAAGATATTTTCCTTTTGCAATCATAGAATAAAACCACTTCTTTGTACACAAGAGAATTAAATGATAAAAAGTAGTTTATCACCTTATAATTAGAGAGATACTTCTGAGATGATATAAAACATATTAGCTAGAAAAGGGAAGTTAAAAAAATTTAATCTGTGTGTGATATACATACACACATATATTCATACACATGGATGACCCCTCAGATTTATCAATGATAAATTGTCAAAAGAAAGACGTTGATTTTTTGGTGAATCTATGCAAGAACTTATGTGGAAAGAAACATTATTATTTTGTCTTCAAAACAGAACAGTGTTCATCCTTAAATCCGAGACCTCCTCAAAAATAGTGACTGTTATTCAAAGAGAATATCATAGTGAAGTTGAGTCATATATTTCCTCTTTTAAAAAAGAGACAGGTTACCCTATTTCATTGTTTTGAACCAAGATTTTAATTGCAATATCCTATAAAATACCAGACTATGTGTATTTAATTCACTTTTCTTTATTCTATTCTTTCTCATTCTTTTTAAAATTTCAATTTTTATATTTATTTTCTTTATCTCATAAATATGCACTACAGTATGTGAGTGCCCACCTCAATTAGGCAAATATATTGCACTATTAGATTTGGAAATGATCTTAGTCCACACTTCTTTTATACTTGAGGAAACGGGATAAAAATTGCTTGCTCATTTTCACAGATAAATTTGGCAGTAGACCTTATATTAAAATATAATTCCAAACTAGGTCCTCTTTTACTCTTCCATTCCAAATTCCTTCTTCTTTCTTAAGTACAGCTGTACTAAATCCTGTTTTTGTAATAGCAGAGATGACATTTGGAAGTACTGTCATGCTCAAAGACTGGACCTATTTTGGGAATAAACAGATAAAAAGCATTTTCTTCAATGACCAACCTGTGATTGTATGCTTTATCAAAATGGAAATTATTCTGCCTGTTTGAAGCAAAGAAAGAGATCTTCTGAATATTAAATTTTGACAAATGGTCAGCTTTAAAATTTAGATAAACAATTCTTTTTTTGAGGGGTATTTATTTTGTTTATACAAGCAAACTTTTTGGAGTGCATAACCGAACCATAAAATGTGTAGATCCTCAAAAAGGGAAGAAAGTCCTGTTGGTGGATCTCCACATCTAAACAAAGGAACAAAAGGGTGAAGTGATGGCATTGCCATCAGGAAGAGGTTAGGTCTTTTCCTTCCAAGGGTAATATATGGGCTGGGCAGGGAAAGAAATGACCAGGTGAGCATATTTATATGAGGAATGGGGTGAACTGGTGCTATGTTGGACTCTGGTAAGCTGGGTGCTGCCTAAGTGTGAGGCATGAGCTTTTCTCTTTCTATCCTCATGTAAGGAACATCAGATAAGAAATCTAAAGGTATTAATTCACATTCCAGCTCTGGAACTTACCAGCCTGTGTCAAGAGAGGAATGGATAGAAAAAGTATGGTATTGCTCATACACAATGCAGTATTACTCTGCCATAGATAGTATTAATTTGATTCATTTATAGGAAAATCATGTACCTAGATACAATAATTTAAGTCAAATCATATACACAAGCTTAAATATTGTATGGTATATTTTATATGTGAAACCCAAAATATAAATAAAGAGCAAAGTAAAAGACAGATGTTAGGAAATAAATACAGATCTTTTGCAAAAGGAAAGAGGGCCAAGAGATGAAGGGAGGGGATAAAGAAAGGAGGAGGGGGTTATGTAAGAATTAAGATGTTACATACATGTATCAACTCCCCATGAGGATGTCTTCATTATATATTGCAAACATGCACAATACTAATAAAAAATAAAAATACAAAAACATATAAGTCTTGGGAGTTAGGTGGTTTCAACTGGAATCCTGGATCTACTCATTCATTATTTATAAAGTTAGAATAATAATAATTGCCTCAAAGTTCTGTTGTGAGCTTTAAATGAGATAATTCATTTATATGCTTGGCACAGTGACTGCTATGTGCTCAATTATTAATTGCCACTCTTCTGGAACTTCTGCTGCTACTACTACTACTACTAATGTGAATGCTATATATATATTTTTTTCTTTTTTTTTTTTTGTACCTGGGATTGAACTCAGGTCCTTGTGCTTGCAAGGCAGGCCACCGAACCGCTGAGCTAAATCCTCAGCCCATGAATGCTATTATTGTTAAATGACAGAAGACAGTTTATATTTACCTCTCTGAAATTTTTCCTTGATTTGCAAAGCTCATGAAATTATGATGTGGAATATAATAAATATTATATGCAAGAGTGATTGGTAAATAAAAATAAGAACCATAAAACATTAAGTGCTGATATTACAATCATTAGCAATAGTTACCTATCATCTATCTATCTTCTAGCTTACTATCTAAAGCTTTTCTTTTCTTCACTGTATTTTCTCTCTGGGTTCTCTTACTCTTTCTCTCCTTCCTCCTCTCATTTCTTCTCCACAGTTGAATATTTTAGCTAACTTTTTCTATGTTCTCTTCTTTTTAGATCTTATTTTTCCATTTTACTCACTTCATTACATACTTTAAATTTTTTAGTTTAATTTATCAGTACAAGTGTGTAGTACATAATGTTTAAATTCCTTGTGAGGAGTCGGTCATGTACACAGACATCACAGTTCCTTTTCTCTCATCCCTTATCTTTTCCTTTCCTCCATCTCTCAGTCTGCTTTTCCTTTAAGAATGATCTAACTCCTTAGTTCCTATTACCTATTTACAAGTACAAGTACAAGTGGCCAATAAATACCCCAGGAAATGCTCAACATGGTTTCTCTTATATGAGAAATCCAGAGTAAAAATAAAGAAAATTTCATTCTTTTATTCACCAATAAGTAGTTAAGCTAAGGATTCAAAATCTTTACAGAAATTATTTTTGTCAATTCAAAATTCCATCATAAAATTAGGTAAGCTAGACAGCTTTTCTTATTGTTCAACTAAATTTGAATTTAGCTTTTCTTTATAAACTTTAACTGCTTTCTTTAGGTATATTTATGATACTTTGTATGACACTAGCCCTGTCTTGTCCTTAGGCCATAGAAGCTAAATAAAATACATTTGCAGTAGGTCCTTCATCAAGTGGAATATGTTGATTGCAATTACTGAACTAACCCTTACTTTGCAGGTTTGGGTGGGCAATTTAGACATTTATTTAATATTTTAGAAACAAACATTAAACAAACAATAAAACACTTAATAGATACAATGAAATATATGGCAGATACTAATTATGCAAATGTATGGTAAAGAGTAAAGTTTATTTCTAGATGATTTTTTTATACTTAAACAGTGATATTTCTCATTTCAATTGTTTTTATAAACGATTTTGAGAATGTCTATGTTAAAAATGTCATAGTTATCCATTATTTTTATCTTTTCCAAATATGCTTTTTACTGACTTATTATGTGCAAGAAGCTTAACATCGAACAATATTTTAGAACATACCCTTTTCACTGAATTTTTCATTGCTAGAATGCTTTTATACAGCATTATTTTATAACAGAGATAGTTACTGATTATTATAAACAAAGTAATATAAAATGATAAAAATGATACTATATATGATTACATTTTTAGATAATATCAAATCATTTTAGACATTCCGCATACAGAGGTAAAATGATACTATATATATATGATTGCACTTTTAGATATTATCACATCATTTCAGACATTACACACAGAGGACAAAGTATCATAGAGAAGACTATCTGGAAGAAGTACATAGAGAAGACTATCTAGCAGCTATGAGAGGACAACACGATGACCACTCTAAGGCTAACTGGAGTTAGAGGAAAGGTAGAACATACAATGGATTCACTAACTGGAATCACAAGGATTCACTAACATGCTTGCAGAAATCATGGAAGAAAATTTCCCAAATATAAGAAAAGAGTTTAAAATACATATAAGCAATGCTTATAGAACACCAAACAAATTATGATGAAAGGAGAAGTTCACAAAGGCATATCTTTATGAAATTCATAGATATAAAGCAAAAAAAAAAGAATTTTAAAGGCAGCCAGCGAAAAACAAAAAAATCACATATAAAGGTAAACCAATGAGAATCATAGTAGACTTCTCAGCACAAACCCTCAATGCTGGAAGAGATAAAAGGGAAGTATTTCAATCCTTAAGAGCAAATAACTTCCAACCCAGAATAATTTACTCAGCAAAGCTATCCTTAAAAGTAGATGGAGATATAAGGTATTTCCATAAGAAAGACCACCTCAAAGATATATGAATACTAAACAGCTCTTAGAAAATAATTAAGTAAAATCTCAACAGAAATCAGGAAATGGACATAGCTAAAAATAAAGGGGAAATTAGCTAGGTCAGTGGATAAAGAGCAATAAAAAATGTCAAGAAAACAAAAAACAAAGGATTCACCAATAGGTAAAGAAGACAATGATAAAAAACCAACGCATCTCAGTAATATTTCAGTAATAGTTAACAGCTTTAACTCTCCAATTAAAAGATATAGATTGGCAGACTGGATCAAAAAACAGAATCCAAAAATCCGTTGCATTCAAGAAATTTTTCTAATCGAAAAAGATATTCATAGACTAAAAATTAAAGGATGGAAAACAACATTTGATCCACCAGGATCCAGAAAACAAACAGGAGTAGCAATTCTAATATCAGACATAGTAAACGTCAAACTAACACTGAGTAGAAGAGATAAAGAAAGAAGGTCACTACATACTGGTTAAGGGAACAATCCAACAAGAGAAGATAACTTTGATAAACATATATGCATTGAACAATGGAGCACCTGTCACATAAAACAGGCACTACTGAAATTAAAAGATCAAATAAACACTAAAACAGTCACAGTGGGGGATTTTAACGTACTGCCTTTCAAAGAGATAGATCAAGTAAACAAAAAACCAATAAAGAAATTATTAGGGCTGATG